TGTATCTCACTACAAAGATGCAATCTGAAGAAGCTTTGGGTACTCCTCGAATTATGATGCACGTTCGGTGAACGAGAAGAATAGATGACAATAAGCACAAGTCAACGGTGCATAAACCAACAATCGGACGTCAACTGCTCTCCATAATCGATTGGGAATCTGCTGTGCTTTGCTTGTCCTATTTTTTTTTCGTGCTTTAGCGTGTTGGAGACGATGACAGCCACACCCAATGTGTATTCTGCTTCTCCACTATCACCATGGTGTCATCCGCGTGAAACATCCATTCTGCCTTGTGTATCTAATGCGATGATTTTTATTCATGCATATTAAATTTGTCTCGAACATTTGACCTTGCATCTTCATCAACTTTTCTTCACATAAATTAGATTTTTTGACTTACATGTCTCGGGCACATTTGATCTTGTGCCCTTATCGTCATGGATTTCTCTTCACACAGGAGTTAGAGTTTTTTTTATTTACATGTCTCGAATATATTTTGCATTACGTCTTTGTCGTAGCGGATTTCTCTTCACATAGGTCGAGTTTTTCTGATTTACATGTCTCAGGCACATTTGGCCTTGTGCCTCTGTCGTAACGAATTTCTTTTCATATGGGTCAGGTTTTCCCAAGATTATGCACCTCGAGCATATTTGGCCTTATGTCTACATCATAGTGGATTTCTTTTTATGCGGTTTAGGTTTTCTTGACTAATGCGTCTTGAGCACATTTTACCTTGTGCCTCTGTCGTAACGAATTTCTTTTCATATGGGTCGGGTTTTCCCAAGATTATGCACCTCGAGCATATTCGGCCTTATGCCTTCATCATAGTGGATTTCTTTTTATGCGGTTTAGGTTTTCTTGACTAATGCGTCTTGAGCACATTTTACCTTGTGCCTCCACTATGATAGATTTCTCTTCACACATATTGGGTTTTCTTGACTAATACGTCTTGAGCACATTTTACCTTGTGTCTCCACTATGATAGATTTCTCTTCACACATATTGGGTTTTCTTGACTAATACGTCTTGAGCACATTTTACCTTGTGCCTCCACTATGATATATTTCTCTTCACACATATTGGGTTTTCTTGACTAATACGTCTTGAGCACATTTTACCTTGTGCCTCCACTATGATATATTTCTCTTCACACATATTGGGTTTTCTTGACTTACGTGCCTCGGGTATATTTTGCCTCGTGCCTCTATTGTGACGAATTTCTTTTCACGTGAGTTGGATTTTCTTAACTTATATGCCTGAAGCACTTTTGGCCTTATACCTCTACCATGACGGATTTTTTTCACGTGGGTTGAGTTTTTCTAACTTATACGCCTTAGGCACATTCGACTTTATATCTCCATCTTAACATATTTCTCTTCATATGGATCAAGTTTTTTCGATTTTTGCATCTCAGGCACATTTAGCATTATGCCTCTACTATAGTAATTTTTTTTCGTATGAGTGCAAACATGAGTGGTCAGTCCCTTAGAATGATAAGTTTTTTTTTCTTTTTATAATGTTCAAGATGAATATTCATACTTGGTCATAAAGACTAAGAAAGAAACTTATGATTCTTTCTAACCATAAAGAATAAGAAGCAAGCTTATGATTATCCATTTTAGATTTTCGTCTATGTTAATGGATGGGTGGAGGGGTGACCTTCGTCTTCTCCTCTTTCTGTCAACACCATGTGATAGTTACGTATATGGTGATGATCGAACGACAATGTATTCCCTATTAGAAAATAAATAAAAACTCTAATTATAATGAATCTAAAAACTTATAATGCTGATGAAAGTCTATTATTCTAAACAAAATCTAATTTACAATTTTCATTGGGTTGTGATCCAAGAAAGCATGATGACCGACTTCAATTCCTCTCTTTTTATCTCTACGAATATATCTACGCATTGTTGTTACATTCCCAACATGAGAACAAAGTTCAAATTTTTTGACTTTTGCGAGTTGTGTGGTGGATTGAATACATATATTTGTCCGCAATATCATGTTTAAACTTTGATCGCTCTCAAGCAAATAAATGAGATGCGATATGTTCATTTGGTATCCTATACACATTGTCAACTTACATCCGCATTCACTGTGCTAGAAAGACACTTTCGAAGGTCGTGATTCTTTACACCTAAATCCACCATATTTAATTTCCTTCATCTGAGATAATTTAGAAAAATAAACCAAAATACATGTTCATAAGACCCATAAAACTATAATAGCCTTTATAGTAGACTTCATAATGAGATTATAAATATTAAAAAAAGTAGACTTTTATAGTAGCAATGTCATAAAATTTATATCTCTAAATTTTATAGTAGACTTACAATTATGCTAAGGAGGGAGGGGTCATACAAGTCTTCAAATTTCAGCCTCCATGAGAAAGCAATTCAAAGATCGTATTAGACTCATAAACCATGTTAATATTAATAAAAACAAATCAAGGATTTTAAATAAATCTGAAATGGATTGACTAGTCCTTGTGAATTCTTCTTCTAAATGTTTCCTAAATTAATGTCTAGAACATGTATGTCCTGAAAACTAAATATTCAAATCAACAAGTATAAATTAAAAATTAATTAAAGAAATAATTCATATCCATTATAAGTTATCAAAGTAAATATTTATAAAATTAAAATAAAAAATAATATTTTGAAGAATATCCTTCGTTAGTTCATGATAAGTGTGATTAATTAGGCTCTACAAATAAAATTTTAATTGATCATAAACATTAGGTGTATAATTTATATTTTAGTATAAAAAATTCCACTCGGATTTTCTTCGTCTATCCCATCGCTCCAAATATGTGAGAATTTATATTCATGAAAAATCTCAGATCAAAAAATACTTTTTTTTAATAGAGAACATGAATAAAATATTAAAAAAATAAAAAATAAAGTAGAAGATATATCCAAACACAGAAGCAGAATTTTCGGGTAAAAGATGTGATCCAAATTCTCTCAAAAATTCTAAGATATTTAATCTCTATAGCTGTGAGGACCACTCGATAGATACCAAAGGCGGAGTGGAGTATATATATATGGCGCCAACCACATCGGGATAACCAAGTGTGAATCTTCTTACTAACCACTCGGATGTGCTGTATCTTTTCATGTCATCCTTTCTAATCAATGATAAGACATAAATAAATAGAAGGTCTGATCTATCCTTCTTGCCATAAACTTCACACAAACATTATATACACACAACTCCCATTCCTATTATTACCAACCAATCGACCTCCTATTAAAACCCACTCCCTTTATGCCTTCTGTACCACTCGGAACAACGCCCGTACTTACATATGGCCACCGCGTCGCCGGCGACCACCATAGAGGACCTCCACGCGGACATGCTAACCCGCGCCCTCCGCCACCTCGACGGACCAGCTCTCGCCGCTGCCAGCTGCGCCAACGTCCACCTTCGCTCCCTCGCCTCCCAGCCCGACCTCTGGTGCGACCTCTGCCTCGCTACCTGGCCCGCCCTCCACCACCCCCGGCTCCTTCGCCTCCTGTCCTTCTTCCCCAATTCTTACCGCTCCTTCTTCTCCGACGCCTTTCCTTTCCCCTCCCCGCTTACCGTAATCCCCCCCGCCGCCGGCGACGACGAGGCCAGTCTCCCATCCGAACTTATCTCCGCCGTCGACCTCCAACACCGGGGCTCCCCCATCTTATCTCGCGTCCTCGAGACCGACACCTCCACCGCCTGGTTCAGGGGCGCCCATTTCCGCCTCGACGCCCTCGACCCGAAGGACTCATCTCTGCCGACGCTGCTCGCCGCCGCGACACCCGAAGACCTAACGCTGAATTGGATCTTCATCGACCCCCACCGGCGGCGGGCCGTGAGAGCGACGAGCCGGCGGCCGGTGGCCATCGATAAGCACTGGATCACCGGCGAGACGGTGGTCCGGTTTGCGACGGTCCTGGGCGATGGGTGCGCCATCGGGGTGGTGGCCACGTGCGTGGAGGAGACTGGGCAGGTGCGCGAGGTAAGCCTGACGGCGGAGTGCGTCGATGGGGTCTGCTTGAGCGGGAGAGACGGCTTGGCGGTACTGCGGGCTGCGATGGAGGGCAGCAGGAGGAGAGAAGAGGCGGCGGAGGCGGAGAGGAGGCTCTGGGAGGAGTTTTCCGGGCTCCGGATGAGGCGGAAAGAGGCGGTTTCGCGGCGGGAGCAGATGGTGGACTTGGTCTGCGCTGCCGTGGCCGCGGCGGGGTTGCTGGCGCTCTTCGCGGTTACGGTTTTTAGGTAGTCCCCGATCGCCCGGTCCGGCGGAAACCGAGAAGTGGTGGGTCGCTTCTCACCTCTTTTTCACATCTGGACCGTGAATTGGACCTCTTCTCATATCGTAGCCGTCCACTGGGCACGTGAGCATATGTGATCATTAGATGGTCGATGTAAGTGTCGCATCGGATAGGATCCAATTGGATACTTGGGATTGTTAGTGGTCAAGTCAACACTAATAATTTAGACAAGCGATAGGGAAATATATGTCACGACAGGGAGATAAAGAGGTACCGAAAGATTCCTTTTGGGTGGTTATGTACCTAATAAAGTGCCACCTAATTGGAAGATGCAATTCATTTATAATAAAAGCATCATTTTCTAGCACGGTAGTACGTTGACATCACATAAATGATTCTGATTGCCACTGATTCCATCTATTGATATGCCACCCTGTTGATGAGCCAAGCAATAATTCTCTAGCATAGTTGAATAAACAATATTTACTCTTACACGACGACAATATAATTTAATAAAAATGATGGAGTGCAATAAAAGTATATGTTTCTGTTCTTGAGAAATAATGTTTTCGTTTTTAACCGACAGGATTGAAATTGATCAATTTATTATTGTGTTAAGTAATAAGTCTAAAGTTCGAATCCACATATACATGATTTATTCTTTCCATATACATGCATAAATGAGCCAACACACTACTAAATAACCTCTTAAATAAAACATGGATCATTAGCAAGAGTGACACTGAACAATAAGAAAAACCAAAATGATTGAATTGAAAATTTATGTCAAGACAGGAAGATTCCACATAAGGCTCAAAGCTTCCACGCAAATTGCCTGTTACAACAAGATCACAAATTGCAGGAGTTCGCTTATGAACTAATCTCCCCATGTTGATGGCCCACCCATTCCAACATCTGAGGCAGGGGGCTGGAGCTGTAGTGCTAATGCATCTGTTGATGTGCTTTTGGACCATTTCCTCTTTTTAGCATTATTCAGAACCAACGCTCCAACAAGTTTCCCATCAGCAACCATTTCATAGCCTTTCTTATACCCTTCAACCTGTTGAGTGGTGGTATTTTTTGAGAAAATAAGGTCCACAAATGGTGTTTCTACATCATCAATCCCTTCAAACTTGATTTCATCTTTATCCGTATGCTGCTTCCCTTTTGCCTTTTTATCTACTCGTGAGTCCGTAGAATCCCTGGGGGGATTGTCATCCATTGCAACTGCTTTCTTGGCTCTCGATTTTGATTTTTTCTTTTCCATTTCCTTTTCAACTACATTAGTGGAAGCTGGTCGATTATCATCACCATTGCCGGACTTGTGCAGAACATTCTTAGAGACATTAACGTCTGATTTCAGTCTATTCTTGTTCAGTCTAGTTGCTGCTTCATTTTCGCTGGAATAGGGAAGAAACTTATCATCCTTGCTGTGACTTAATCTTTCTGCTCCTGCTGTAGTTTCAATTGGCCTAGTATTAAATATCCGCAAGCGTGGTACCATTTTTTGGACCTGATATAAGGTTAAAGACACATAAGACACAGGCCTATTTTATCGACAAATTAATCCACAGAAGTATGAAACAGAAATGCAAGGTTGGAGAAAAATTCACCTTCTTGGCTAGTTTATCTTTCTCGGCAATAGGATTTCCCTGCAAATTGAGGTTTTTTAAATTGTGTAACGCAGAAAGGACCTGTCAACAAAACAGTTAGCCAAGCTTTTCAACTTGAATGAACCAAGACAGTAACATTTCAAGACAAATGAATTTTGATTTCTTCTTCCTAACCTTTATGTCTGACCAGTTCTCAATTAAATTACTCCCCACATCCAAACTTTGAAGTTTGGTGTTTTGAGCCAAGTCAGCTGGGAGAGTCTGAAATTAGTAAGACATATTTAGGATGTAAATTGTAGCGGATGAACAAATAATTGATGGGATACGGCTGCTGTAATAAATATTGAGATGGCACAAATATAATGTGATCATTAAACTATAAGCAGCACCTTGCAATTTTTGCTTAAGAGCATCAGATACTTCATAGATAGGTGGACTGCACTGCCAAACAACTGCAGGATGGTTGCAATTCTGCTAAAAGCAGAGTCCTTTTATATAATATGAAACTACATCCCATAAGTTGGTGTGATTGTTTCACTGACATCATATTTGGCCAATTCCATTTTTCAATAATCAAATTTGACCACTTTAGGTGATTGGAAGAAGACTTCATTAAAATGCAGAGTTAATTTGATGGAGATCAAATACTGATCACCACAAATATAAGCAAGCAAAAGCAAAGATGATGAGCCCTAGTCAGATAACATCAAAAGAACAGGATACTGCATGAGATTAACCGTGCACAGCAAATATAGGAACTAAGAAGCATCTACAGCACCTGAGATGCAAAAGAGGCCCCTTTTTATGAATGACTTGTTGATTCTTTTTCAACAAGCTACATGTTCAATAAGCTACCAAGTGTCAGTACGCCTTTACTGACTGTGTTTCAAAAAAAAAAAACCTAAAAGAAGCTGAAAAATTAGAAATAAAATTGTCTAGTATAGGGCCTTGTACCAGGCATATCGTCCACTTTACCCTAGTTGGTGTACTGACCTGTGCAAGCATATCAGGTACCAGTATGCTATCAGACTGGTAAACACTGCACACATTGAACCAGACCAAGTGATATTGCAAGCCTTGCTCATAACTGAGTCAAAGGCTCAATCAGGTTTTTCTGTAGTATAACAAGATTTTAACCAAACATGGTTACTAAATGAAGCTAAACTAGAATTAGGATTGTTATACAACATGTGTAGAACATAATCCAGTAGTTTTTCTCTAAATCACAAATTTTCCCCTAATTCAAAATCATTGTGAAACATTATTTGCTTTGACAAAGCACGAACCAAGTATGTAGTTTGGAAAAGCATCAGGAACATATTTACAAATTGTTAAGAAACTGTAAATATAATCAAACAAAAGCATAGGGCAATGACACTTTAGAAAAGAACATACTCCGATCTGGTTGTGAGCAAATTTAGCTTCCTTTAAGTCTACACATGAAATGAGGGAAGATCCAATCTCTTGAATTTGGCAGTGAGAAAGAGATAGCTGAAATAGGTTACAAGACAAAAAAGTTAAATGTAAACCATTCAATTATATAACTGTGTAAGTTAAAATGAACAATTGAACAAGTTCATATATTATCGCACTTTTGTGATAGATTTTGCCTTCATCAAGGAGTCACCAATATCATAAATTGGGTTCCGAGAAAGAACTGCAAATAAGAAACAAGAAATGCATAAATTTCCACAATCTCCAAAATATTGTGTATAAATTCTGAAATAAGATACAAATTGGTTAAAATCACACAGAAAGGTGAATTATATACAATGTGAATTCAAAAAAATTATTCTATATATTGATAAAATCATGTTTAACATTGCACTATAGTCAATGAAAACAAAAATGTCACAAAATACATTACTGAATCATTTTCAAGATATATTTTCCTTTTTCTAATATTTTTATATTATTTAAGTTTAATATTAAATTTAATGTGCTATGTTGTAAGACAACAATTTCATTAAAACCAACCAACCAGCTGTTTAGTTTCTGTACTAGAGGTACGTGAATAAGACAAGCAATTCTTGTACTAATGCAATAAATAAAATACTCGGTACAGAAACATTTAAGAAAAGAAGAGATGAACACACAAAAAAAAAGCATGGAATTCTAAGCAAAGAGAGTTTTCAACACATATGGAAGAAATGATTTAGGCATTTTTGTATTCTTGTTGCCCATGAGTATTAGGAACAACAACTATCAGCACTGTTAATAAATCTCTAATATAACTTTTTTGCAATAGGTCAATTCTTAGGAAAAGTCTAAATTTTTTAACATAATCTGATAATACCTATACTTACGGGAGGGTCACGTTGAAGAACTTAATTAATCCAAACACGCAATTCTTGTCATAAATGACTTAGTTACCATTAGCACTATACCAAGGATGAAGATTATTTTACATACATACCAAGTGTATTCAAAAATCCCAGCTGATCAAGCTTGCAAATGTGGGATATCTTGTTATCTGAAAAGAATATAATATGATCAAGGAATTAAATAGATACAAAAAAGGAAATTCAGTTCAGCTGTGACGTGCTGAAAAGCTATTTAGTGTCCTAATAAGAAATAATACCATTCAAGATTAGAGCTCGTAGACTAGTTATAGATTCAATCTCACTCATTGCCCGAAGTCTATTCTTACCAGCATTCAACACCTGCTTCATAAGGAGAATATCAATAAACAATAATAATAACGAAACGTCCTGGTAATACATAGTATTTGAGAAATGGCTATTAATGCAATTGTGATTGCTCAACAAAAATGAGCATCAATATTTCCTAAGAAAGTGACTGGATACTCACGCCAAACTTCAATAAATTTGCTAAGAAAAATCAGTCGATTGGTTTATTATGCTGGCAATCTCTTCTAAAACTTTGCTATATTGTTGATTCAAACTAGCAAAAGCTCCATGTCCATTCCAAGAAAAAATAGTTTTGAATCAACAAATCGATTATCCCAAGGCCCAAATTTTAAAAGTACTACTGATCCATTTGGATGCAACACTCCAAAAGAGAAAATACATTAAAACCCATTTACTCCAGCACAGCACTGGATATATAAATGGTTTAATTTCAACCAACGCAAACCATATAATAGCTAAAAGTGCTACTTCCCACATTGGTCTGAATTGTTGCACAAAAACCAAAAATCTCGCACTTGATCGTTGATGTATATGTTAGCACACTCCATAAAAGAATGCACATTGAACTCACCATCAGCTTGGAAAGGCCTTCAACACCTTTCAACGTTTCAAGCTTGTTTTCCACCACGGACAACCATTTTAAATTGACGCATGACGACAGATCCTGCAATCACCACCAAGAAAAGAGAATAGCTGATTTCGTAGTCTGGACGTGGACCAAGTTCTAGTGGAGTAAACCATGGCAGAGAACAACCTCGAGAGATGAGAGGCAGTTGCAATTGAGATCGAGTCGCTCCAAGTTCCGGAAATTGCTCAAACACGATACCTGCAAGACAGAGGCCAACATGAATGCCGATTATCTTCTTAAATGAGCGGCGAAGGGGATTTGTCAGCTCACATCGGAAAGTGCTCGATGGGAGAGACTAAGGGAGGTGGTCGCGGTGCCATCCATGCTCTCGTGGGAGATTTGCTCCAGGGTGAGGCGCGCCATGGCCTCCGGAGAAGAGTGAATCCTACAATAGGTAGCACTCGGGACGCAGAGATCGAGCCGAGTAGGACGCGGAAAACCCTAAGAGCTGGGATTCGATCAATGTTTTTATAAAGACACCCCTCGGCGATGTCCTATTTAAGTATACGTCCGTAGCCAACCTGGAATTACTCGTCATAAATCTATTGTGAAAATTGTAATTTTTTGTTGTAAGATATTTGTTACTGTAAAGAAAGTAAATGTTACATTAGGGATTTTTTATATTTTTAAAAATAATTTTTTTTAAGATAAAGATAAACCTTTTATTTATCAAAAGTATTTATCACAATAAATTACGTATTTGATAGTTATTATAAGAATTAATGAAATAAATGCTTTGAAATATTCTCTTCACGACAATCGTAGTTATCAAATTAAACATTGTTATAGCTGAGTCAAATTAACCAGAGGATTAATTAAACATGGTTAAGAAATGTTTCCAGCATCTCTAATCCTAACATCAGAACCTACCATTACTGTTTGTGGATTAAAATAATATACATCATATGAACCCACTAATGTGTATTGGCATCTAGTTAATATATTTTAACTGCATGATAGTTTCATATCATTATTTGGTTTAGTTATAGTCGAAACAAGATATTGTTGTGAAACCTTTTCTTTCCCTAATTTGGTGAATTATGCACTCAAATCAAGGTTATGAAATAAATAAAGATTAGATTGGACAGAGTTCTAATCTAATCAATAAGATATGGCGATAAACATACTACTTATCAATAAGATATAAGAACAATGTGTGAACTAAACTAACCAGTGAAGAAGAAATTGCAGACATCCTGTTTGGTTATATAAGGATGGCGTAACACATCAGCATTTGCTGCATCAAGAAAACAGTGAAGAAGAAAAGTGACCGGTGTGCTTGCTGCGACATGCATCTATTTCAAGCATTTCTGCAAAAGCAATTGACTCAAATCCAGTGACTGCTACCTGATAATGATATCATTAATATGTCAACGAACTCCAGGGTGTCACAGCTTTCAATAATTTAAACACACAGCACACGACAAAGACTAACAACATAAATGAAGACAACCTAAGATTACCCTTCGGCTGAGGGAATGAAAATTTTGTTTTACAAGAATCCTGAATATTCTGGATTTAAAATAGGTTATAAACCTAATCGGAAACTCTTGGGTCTAGGTTTTGGATGAATACACAGTAAAGAAGCAGCAATGGAGATCTCACTGGCACCCAGGTGGCTTAGAAAGTCCAATTGCAATTGGGCCAGCATCATCGAAACGTCGTTTGACCTTAGCATGCTCAATAAATACTACTCGACCATTCAGAACCTGCTCAAGAATTTGACAAATTATTTCACATCCACAGCCAGAGAGCATCGTGCGTTACTTACCTTGCGGTCCATTTCTTCAAGAGCTTTTTGGGCTTCTTCTTCTGAGGCAAATGTCACAAACCCAAATCCCTTTGATCTCTTGGAAACTTTGTCCATAATTATTTTAGCTGCAAGTATATGATGCTTATAATGAGTCATTTTATTTCTCATCCGGTAAGAAAAAATATGGTACAACTATATTTTGATAGGCATAGGAACACCTTCAATCACTTGCCCAAATTGTGAAAAGGCTTCAGATAAACAGTCTTCTGTCGTAGAGGACGAAAGCCCTGCAAAACATACCAAAACTTAAAACCAAACCAACATAAAAGGCGACAACGAATACCTTGTTCTGCTAAAGCAAAAGCTGGTTATAATGGATAAATCATTTTTCATAATCACAACTATGGCTGTCATGGACAACAAAGTTGAGGCTATACAACACGTAGTTGAGGTTTAAGTGGGCTGAAGATCATGCTTCTAAAGTGTAAAATACACTTTAGGTAGAAGTATGTACCATTATGCAGACCAGCTCTTGTAGGTGCTATGCACATGAGGCACATGCTATAGTTCTGCATGTGACTCCCCAAAAGGAAAAACAAGTTCCCTATCTTAAAAGTATGTGAGGTAGAATTATACAGTATACCATTAAAAGTGAGGTAGAATTGTAGTGGACAAGAATGTGAGGTATAATTATACTGTATGCCATTAAAATTTATTATATATTTCTCGGTATGTTGCGATTAGTCAAACAAGTTCCCTACTTAAATCAGAAACATGTGAGGTTGATTATCAGCTTTACGTGTAGGCGAATTATGCTGAAAGGTACAAAGTTCCACAGCAGCCACCTATAGGCTCGGCATCAACCTAAAGATAGCACAACATACCATGGCAGTTTCAGCCGCAAATGGTATCACAAAGCAAATTTTTATCCCAGAAACTCAATTCTAGACCTTTAAAGCTATTAAAATTTATCCGAACATGATCTCTAGAAAGTTCTCCAACAGCCTCAAATATTTCAGATAACATGGAGATTGATTCAGAGGGCAACATATAAAGATATTTCTTTGCAAACCAAAGATATTTCAACCTAGAAATAAGTTGAGACTAGAGAGCAAATTATTATGAAATAAATTCCAAGCAACCTAGAGCCTAAATCCTTAGCCTTGAGACCAATGAAGAGGAGGCAAAAGGACCCAATGTTAATTAGGATTGGGTGGCTGGCCAAGTGGGAGTCGAGGCCATTCAACTCAAGGACCAAACCACCCATTAACAGGGGGCAATCAACAATTAGATTGCTAAGAATTGGGGACCATGGGAGGGTTCACTTGCCACATCAACCCTCAAACCAGCAATCTTATTAGATAACTTGTTAGGATTAGACAACATTTGACTTGTGTACAATTGAGACTCCTAACCAAACCAGGATTCAGAGTGATGCAGTCTGACTTATCACCTCTGATTAGAGAAGCTGTATCCTACCAAAATTTATCCCATACATCTCTCGATCGACATCAAAAATGGCTAAAATCACTCAACCAGAGTTGCTAGCTAAGCCGTCCAAATTCAGTGATGTAACCGCAATAAGTAAGTTAGAATAGTAGTCTTTTAATGAATCTTTCTCTTAATTGACGTAGCCTCCATATCTTTCTAATCTTATTCTAACCCCCTTCTTTTTCTCCCCTCTCCGTTCGCTCTTCAAAGATCCCTTCTTTCCGCAAAGATAGAAGACACGAGATAAAAGACTAAGCCAAACCAGTCCAACTATTACTTGAGTCTCCAGATCTCAAGCAAAAGAGTTTGAAATATGAGTTGATTAACAAGAAAAATGACCCTAAAAACTTGTAAGCTTCTATACAGAAGTACATTTTCAATGAAATTAAGCTTCAACCAATTTAATATTTTTAATCCTTAAGCTTTGCTGTACAATTAAGTGAAATGCAATAATCTGATCCCACTTTAATTTCCATTGGTCCAGCCTCTTAGATACAAACAGTTACAAGAGCTGCAACCTACGAATGATTAGGAAATAACCCACAACTAAGACAGTCTCCAATCTTGTAACATGTTGAACCCTGGTAGACGAGAGCATGACACTACAACAGGCACATAAATCATCTAGTTTGTGCCATAAATATGATTCAGACATGGTGAATGTAAAATAAATGATAATAACCTAAGCCTCCTTGAGTTGCTTATGTTGATATGGCCAATACAGCTCATCTCAATATAGCTTAAGCTATTCGTCTGACAAGCGTAGCAACCCGTTATTCTGGTTAAACTCCCATAGCCTCCATCCAAGGAAATCAGTTGCAGACAACAATTCAAGCCAAATTCTTTGTCACATCACCCACACAAACAAAAAGTATTAGTCCAATCCGACGGCCAGAAGACATCCCTTACCAGAGAATATGATACCAGATCGAGATCGTGTACGATTTCTAGTTATTTATTTCCTCAGAGAATAGCATCAATTAGACAACAGAAAACGAATTCAACCTTACTTAGACCACTTATTAATCATCATCACCCGAAACGAAAAAGACAAGCTACGATCGATTTGAGCTTACCTCCGACGAAGAGCTTGGAGACGATCCCTCTTGCGGAAACGAGTTGGAAGGGACGGAGAAGTCCACAGTTGTCAAGATTAGAGTTTCCATGAATATGATGATCCTTAAACCTTGCAGTGCTACGGATGAATTGCATCATCCCTCTTCGGAGAGCCGCCATCGATCTGCAAGAGGAAGCCCTCGAATGCTTTGCGAGCGACCGTTTATGGGCCGCAACAAGATCGACGGACAGATATCGATCATGATAAGAACTAGCTGAGACGTCCGATCCGACCGGCAATGGACCGGACAAATTCGTATTAGCGGTCAGGCGAAGAACCGGACCGTTTCATTCTTCGACTAATTTTGCCTCCTTAGGGTTTGTGTTTCATATTGAACACTATTTATATTCATGTTGGGCTCACCTTGTCAGGCCCAAGATACAAGATACAGGAACCACCAATTCATCTTACTCGTCATAATACATATCAAGTGTTTATGAACACATAATAATAATAATACATCATTGTATTTGTCATGCTTATCATGGGATATACTACAAATTGGACTAATTTAAGATCATAATATGACATAATTTAAATTTATTTTGAAACAATTTTTTAATCTGAAATAAAAAAAAACAATTAGTCCTAGAAAATGTTATATCTTTCATAGATATAACATTTAAATCAAATGAAATAAAATGTGATCAAACTTATAATCGATAGATTTGATGAATCACATGAACCTAAGCAAATGCAGTGCAAGCAACTGCTCCTTTGAAACTGATCGCAGATGGAGGACGGAGACCATCACTTTTCCCACTTGTTCATATGGCAATCCTGAAAGGCACTCGCTTCTCACTAAGTGGAGTCTGAGTCAATTCATACGACAAAAGTCAAAAGAACAAGTAAGCATTTTTTCTTCATATTTGTGTAAAAAGATATTTTGATTTTACGAATGCTCTCTCGACACTTGTTATCATCCATGTAGGAGGAGTTCCAACTTATATTTCAACTCAGATCAATTGAGTTATCATCTTTTCTTTGGAAGAACAAAGACCTTCATAATCGACACATAACTGGGTTTGATATCTGAATACCACATGAAACAATTTCACATCGTTTCTTCAGATATCAGTTGCCGAAGATTTGACCTTACGGAAGCCGTCTCACGACCTGATGTAAGCAACGAGACAAAGCACTGCTTATTCCAATATGCTTGACAGAGAACGATGTAGCTTTTTGACGAGACTGAGAAGATCTTCATGTGACCTAATTACGCACCCACAAGTGCAAGAAAACTTGCAGCTACGCATAGGTACGGATTGATACATCGGACGCATGTCCTTATCAGCATCGAGTCCGACGAAAAGAGCGGCCATTACCCATTAGGATATGAACTGCTCTCCGAATGGTCTGTCCACTATCCAAGTCCACTAAGGATGTTTGTCAGTGGAGCTTTCCATCTCCCGTCCATGGCAGTCTGACATTTCACACACTCAGAAAAGCGTTACTTGAGTTATCTTCAACCCAAAGTAGATTCCAAACGGTGACCAAATCTCAAAGAACGACGACGCTTTGGAGAAGCTATAAACGCTACTCGCTTATCATAATTGCAAAGATAAATGCAGTCGCTTATGCCTAGCTAGCTAGCTAGCAAGGAAGGGGTATATGAATGTACCATAGCCAATGAGCCGATGAGGGTGTTACTCCACAAAAACACAAAAACCTGTATGCATAAGAAGATTAAATAGACCGGAGAAGCATTGGACACAAGGATCGATCCACTCAAGATCAAATAGAGAGACAGACTAAGCACCGAGCTATGACACTCCGATACATGCTAATCATTCCTGCGCTTTGTTTAGTGTTGGTATACGTATCAAGTGGCGAGCCACATGGCTAGGTAACACCTACAACAAGTGCCCTTCTTATTCTACATCGAATTATCTTTGTTTATGCACAACATTTTGGTGGACTGATAAGAATCGCCGACAGAGCGAACATTAGGGGCCACATGTGTGTGTAGATGTCTCACTCAGCAAAGTAACAAGTTGGAGTGGCTTAGAAGAATATATCTTCATTCTTCCTCCTATTATTAGCATGAGAGTGGGATAGGAATATAATGGATCTTTATCTCCTCATATTCCTAGTGTTTAAGCAACTAAATTCGCCAAGCGCTAGTCGAATGGCCATGGAAGTGTAGAGGCTTAACCACCATACGATATCAACGTAGTTGGGAATGCCTATTGTCAGAAAAGGAAACCATCAAAATGTCATCTTTTTCGATCGGGATAGGCTGAAAAGACAAGGAGGAATCCGTAGGGAATGACGAAGAGAGAGCTTACGTGCATGTCCTTTTCACGTAGTGAAAAGCCGCATTCGTATTCTTGATGTAGATCATCTATCAGAGTTAGATTTGCTATTAATTCAATGCACGTATTATATTTCAACATGATAACATCATAATTGTTAGATTTTAGACCTGACAAGCTTAAGTTTGCTCGATAGACTTTATACTTGCTTAAAATGCATAATATTTTCTAGCAGAAGAGAGTTTGGGTAGGAATGGAAGACCAGTTTCTTGGACGGTACAAGATGTCAGATGAGGAGGAGCTCAAGACAATATCTTCTAGTGGATGTATGGTCCGAAGATTCACTCGTGGATGGGTGGGGTATGTGCCTTATTTGCTATCTATCTGATGCGATTTCCTTACTTTGGATCTTGACCTGACCTGACATATAGAATTCATTATTCAATTCATTTTGGCATAAAAGGGAACAAGAAATGTTTGTCCGATTCTATATAGGGGTTCAATTTTATAGTTTTCTCATTTTTCAAGACGAATTAAAGTCAATTGTTACCTGACAACAAATACGTTACCTTATGAACTCAATACGAACGAAGTTGTCTATTCATCGTACGTCGATCGAGAACAAAGTTGTCTTCACGACTAAATGATGACCATAGATTTCGTATAATCATCTCACCAATAAATTGATCACTTCGATTTCAATTTAAAGATTCCCAAATGCATCTACTAACCATATAAATAATCATATATTTTTATCCTTAAATCTTATTAACCTTTACTAACTTAAATATCATATAGGTTTTTGCCCGGATGGATGCATTTAAGAATATATTTGAAATGTGCATGGAGTGCTCAATGCACATTTCAAATCATATCTAGCTTGGATAACGTATTAAAAATGCTGATACTTTTTCAGAGTAGCATTAGCATTTTAACATTTACAGGATGCTAATATATATTTTTTTAAATTTCGAAAGTACCCTATAACTTTATCTAAAATCACAATGTTACTAAAATAATTTAGCGAAAAATAATATGATTTATATTTTTTTTATAAAGGTATAATTTAATTTATTTATTGTAAAGATTATTTTATACCTATTTATTTGACTGTATTTTTATTTATTATATATTTGGGCCATATGAAATTTTTTATAAGATTACATACATACAATCATTTATTTTATTTTATTTAATAATTTAAATAAAATTATGTATTCAATTTTGAATAAATATTAAAAATATTAAAACGATAAATTTGTTATAAAATATTTAATAGACTATTGAAATATAATTTTACCAAGCAACACTTATTTACCTCAATGCATATTTAAATTACAGTTTTCATCTCCTATTTATTAAATATTCAAAGCACTTCATGCTTACTCAAATTTCTATCTTCGATTATATATTAAAAACTCATAAATACAATCTATATAGTTTTGTAGGATCAATGAACGAATCTTCAATAGGAGACTTGTGATAAGTTTGAACGTAATTTAATTGAGATATTAGTTTTCTGAGACGACACAAAATGAGAATATGGAAATGATAAGAACACAACGCAATTTTAAGATAATTATTCCATTGGATTGGAAAGTAGTCGTCCACATCCATTGAATCTGACGTCCGCTTCCTTTGATCCACTTGCTCGATACCAACTTCGATGAACTGATGATGAAAGTAACAAATGCCCTTTACAGTCGTACTATTTATTTACACAATATTTAAGATATAATTTAATTAGATTGAAGGATATTTTATTTAGTTCGCCCAAAAATTACTAACAATTAAATCAATTAATAGAAAATGAAGTCCATATAGAAAAGCTACCTAAGACATGTCGTAAGATTAGAATCTTTCTTACTCCTCTCTGCCAAAGACTCCAAGGGTGAAATCAATCTTGTAAGTAACATCTAATAAATCTAAGGAATTCATTTATGGACTTTACTTTGTTGGACAATCTAACCACACAAATCTTTTTTTATGATAATATCACCGAGAGAAATATAATTGGTATATATGATATCAATATGTTTAATCCTCTCTTCCCTCGATCTTCATCTCGCATATTAATATTCGCTAAATATCTCATCTTTTAACATGAAATTAACTTGGTTTTAGCTCAAATATGAGTCGTAAAAGATGGATTTGAGTCAAAATTATGGTTCTATTAACTTGAAATTTTCATCCGACAAACATAGATAATTAGTAACTAAAGTTGTTTGCACATCACTTTCGTTCTCTTTAGTGTTAGACTAACATGTCTTTTTCCAATGATCATGTTTTCCTCGGTCATTGTTAAACGAAAATGACTCTCATCATGATGACTCGTCGTAGATTGAATATAGTTCTTAAAATAAAAAAATATATAAAAAATAAGAAAAAAAAACACATAATATTCTCAAGGATAAAGACATAATATCGAGCACAATTTTTTTGATGCAACACAACTACTCTCAAAGTGTATCAAAAGAGAATACAAAATACTTTAAAGTGTCAAACCCTCAAATACACAGACCCTTGTTCTTCAAGAAAAAAATCTTAAAAATAAATTTCATATAGGAAAAGAATTCAAAACAAATCATTACTTGTTCAAAGTAAAAAATGTTTTGCAGCGTACGTATGCATCCAAGTCACGGTAGGTCTCAATCCATGTTCCTCGACTCATCATCTTCGGCACGCATCTAACAGTGTGGCGAACAGCTAGCCGCCACCAACTCTCATGTCGGTAAAATACTTTGGTGAGAACAAAAAGGTCTTTTGACTCCCCTCCGGTGGTACGGCCCTACGGACTGCTGCTTTACAGATGGAGCAGCGGGTTCTGTACAGCTTGATCCGGTTAAAAGAATGCGTCAGAGATTGGTACATATGCATGCGGTCAAGTGGGTGGAAACGACTGAAATATATTATTTTCGATCCATGAGAACTCTGGAAGTGACGTCTCTTGACTACTTTTGTGCCTCTCCCGAGCGATGGCAAGTAATGCACTGAACATTCCTTGTGACTAGAATATATGCTGTGGCACTGTGATCATTCCAATTTCGAAAGGAGAATCTGAAGATATTTCTTAATATTCTCACTACCCTTCTCTCTCGAAGAATCCTTTAGCTACCTAGAAAGCCAAAGGAATTTTGTCCAGCGTGCAAACGCATATTCCAATCTTATATAAACGACGTTGGAGCACCATTTCCTTCTCATCCCCCTTTGCCTCCTTGTCCTGTAACCTCAGGTTGACCACCCGACCAAGGAGGGAAAGAGAAGCCTCGGTCGGACGGCCACTACCTTGTGGGGTTTCTTCCACCCGCTTATTTCCACCGTCAAGATCAAGCTATGGAATTCGGTCTCCAAAGCAGTCAGAAGATTGGCTTCTCGCCATGGTGGTCCAACGCTATCTCACTGGTAGACAGCCTGAGCACAAGAGTCGTCGAGTTCTTCAGGAAGGTGAAGAAGACCGGAGAAGATGACCCGCGACGGATCGGGCACTCCTTCAAGGTTGGGTTGGCTCTCACAATGGTCTCCGTCTTCTACTACGTGACGCCCCTCTTCGATGGCTTCGGGGTTTCCACCATGTGGGCGGTGCTCACCGTAGTGGTGGTGATGGAATACACAGTTGGTTCGTGAGATCTTGGACTGCCATGTGTCTCGATGTTCGATTATAATGAACGTAACGAAAAACTGACATCTTCGTGATGTTGCTCCTTAGGTGGAACTCTAAGCAAGGGCCTCAACAGGGCTTTCGCAACACTACTTGCTGGTGCACTGGGAGTAGCAGCTCATCAGATAGCGGTCCACTGCGGAGAGAAAGGAGAACCGATACTTCTCGGCCTCTTCGTCTTCGCACTTGGTAAGCATAATTTCTCACACTTTCTCATCTTATGGGAGGCCATGCATGGGGTTCTGACGATGCAGTACTGCATGCCTTCCCTCCAGCCGCGGCGGCGACGTTCTCTCGATTCATACCGGAGATCAAAGCAAGATACGACTACGGGGTGACGATATTTATACTGACGTTTAGCCTTGTGGCGGTGTCGAGCTATCGGGTGGACGAGTTGGTGCAGCTGGCTCACCAGAGGCTCTCCACCATTGCCATTGGCGTGGCCACTTGCCTGTGCACCTCAATCTTCGTCTTCCCCATCTGGGCAGGAGAAGATCTCCACAAGCTTGTGGCTGGAAACTTGGAAAAGCTTGCGAGCTTCCTCGAAGGTATACGAACAGTGCTATCGAGGGCCACAGGCCGTGGCCCGGCATGTCCACCCTAACACTAAATATCCTGCAGCTGAGAACAGCAAGCATGCTTACATGTGCACCTTAGAACAGTACAATTCTTCATTGTCATTAGAACAAAAAAGCATTCATTCGCAAACGAATCGGAGACAGGATGTTTTGCCCATGGCATCATGGGCCTTCCACCAACTTGGTGCGTCTCCAATTCCGCAAGTGCCCACGCTTTGTTTTGACTCAGTAGACATGTGGTGCCACCCATCCCAAGGTGTAGAGGCAAAGAGCGCGATCTATATTGCCGTACAAGTAGTAGAAACAATCATGAAGTTCAACTTCTGCAAGAACAAAAACATTCGATGGTTCTAATTGATGGATGGAAATGGCAGGACTGTCGGCAGAATGCTTTGCGGAGAAAGGAGGGATTGAGAATTTGGAGGGCAAAACCTTTCTGCAGGCCTACAAGAGTGTCCTCAACTCCAAGCCCACTGAGGACTCCTTGGTAAGTCAATCCGTCCTTCCAATGTGCTATAATACTAGAGGTTTCTAGGGCAATCATGGTCTTACTTTCTTCTTTTATTAATCAGTTAACTGATGGACAAGCTAAACTTTAACTTGTGTGCTTTATAGTGGTCGTCATCTTAAGTGCAAGTGCACCAACATCACACTTTTTAACGGAGACTGCTTTTGTCGTCCCAACCTGAGCCAATTACCCATCTTAATCTAAACAAGTTATTGTAGTGAGCAAGACGACGCCACGCCATAAGATGGCAGCAATCTATCAATGTCCCACGAGTTGCTGCAACTCACTATTGTTCCTTCTTGCAGGCAAATTTTGCGAGGTGGGAGCCGTGCCATGGTCGTTTCTGGTTCCGTCACCCGTGGAAACAGTACCTAAAGATTGGAGCTCTCAGTCGTCAGTGTGCTTCTTCCATGGACGCTCTTGCTGCCTACATCATCACCACCTCCACAAAATCCAAGGTACATTCTCTCTCTCTCTATCAAAACAGAGAAAGAAAATAATAATAATCTCGTGCTAAGGAAATCTAAAGACCCAGTTGAGTTTACCCGCAGACGAACACGGATCCGGATCTCCAACTAAGGATCCGAGCTGCATGCAAGGAGATGGCCACCGAATCCGCCAACACGTTGAAGGAGCTTTCAACGGCTATCCGGACCATAACCGTGCCTTCCGCGGCCGGCCGGCACGCGTCGGCAGCCGTGGCGGCGATCGGAAAATGGAGGGACTCCCTTTCCGACGACATCGCCCTGCCCGAATTCCTCCACGTGGCGACCACCGCTTCCCTCCTCGCCGATTTGGTCCTCCGGGTCCAGAAGATCGCGGGCTCGGTTGAAGAGTTGGCTCGCCTCGCCCACTTCAAGCGACCCGAGCCGCTAGTTCACGACGCCAAGATTAAGCCGGTTGTCGACGAACATAGCCGGTCACACCTGTCCATTACCTTAGAGAAATAAGGAGCGAGTCTAAGATTACTATATATATATATATATATATATATATATATATATATATATATATATATATATATATATATATATATAAAGAAGAATATTGGATGGGTCGTGGTACTTCAAAACTTGTTACGTGATAATATTCTTAAATAAAGATTGTGTGCCGAAATATTCTTTCAATAGCTCAATCAAAGATTTGTGTCCGACTAAATCAACGAATTGGACTAAACCGAGATTGTAGACATTTCTTGTGCACGTACATGAAATAATATACATATATGTAACCAAGATGAAAGAAATTCTAATAGAAAATGAGGTCGTTCGCGTGGCATAAGATGGGCCATATATCATTCGATGATTTATATTTTGATTCACTGTTATTGTTGATCGATGGCTAACTTTAAGTAATTGGGAATTAGTGGTTTATATTGTGTTGTCGTACTTATTATATAATGACCGCAACCATAAGTATTTTGACGCCAAATCTTTTTGGATAAAAAGTATAAAAAATTAGCTTTTATACAATTTGCCAAATTTAAGTTAAATCGATCATATTAAGGATATCCAGAACTCAATTTTGTGTATTGCTTAGTTGTGTACTCAACCTTCATGTGGTCATTGATGCCCTTTGGTATTGTGGGAGTTTATAGATATCAACAAGTCATACATGAACAATATATGATTTAGGCTGACTTAGTGTAGACCATAGTGTCTACTTTGAGGTGTCTTGTGATATTGTAAATTATAAATTAAGATTTTAAAAAAAAATTATGGATAATTAAAATTTCACCATGGTTTATACATTAGGTTTTTTTTTTACATACATGTATGTATTTAATTCTAGCAAAGATATTACATGCATGTATGGCATATATGCCCCATCAAATGGTAAGATCCTCAACATATACCCCTTTTGGAGAACATCCATCGAGAATACTCAAGTTAACCACTTCTAACCATGGTTACAACGCCAATACTCTTAATACCATGGTAAGAATCCAAAGGGTATTCCTATACATTAGAGTTTCAATTAGAAAGGTCAAACATAGTCAACTAACTAAGATTAAACATAATGGCCTATATGCAATTTTCAAAATTTGCAATTTATATACAAAAAGTTAGACCTACCAATTATATAATCTTATTACCAAGTCATGATACATTTTGTTTTTTTGTCGAAAATGAAGCTTGGAATTCAACTTCAACTTCAACAATCACTTCAATTTTTGTACCCAAATAATTTGTAAGAGCAGCACAAGAAGTTGTTTATTCTATAGTCTTCACTTCATTTTTCAATAATATTTGCATATGGTTTTCTATCTCCTCTTTTATTATTCGATATATATAATTTATTTCATCAATTTCATACTTTAGAAATAAATCTTTAATCGGAATAATCTCGATCTTCACCCTATTTTACAAAGTAAATTGCCAACCAAATGCGACTACCAAGTCAGACATGAATGCTATCCTCTTTCTTAAAGCTCTCCTAAATTTGAACCTTGGTGTGCTATATAGGTAAAAAGTAAAAGGAATCCATCCTTGGGTGGGTTGACTCTCGGTATATATGTTCTTCCTGGAAGCATCCAGTTGGTGTTGGCATTAGGTAAAATGTCGACATGATGTCTGCTATCAAATATTAGCCCGAGTCTCCAAAGAAACTGACGTGTGAAATCACCATTGCATCTCTCTACCTGTTTCGAGTGCGGTAAAGGAAATAAAAGACTGTCACTTTTACGAGCAAGAAGTAACTCTATGACAAATGCACATACACTAATCGACTAAGCAATCCAGGTTTATGGCAGAAAGCATGCAAGCCAATACAACAAGAAGATTAAATCTGGAACTGCTGTGAGTGAGTGAGTGAGTACCACTCGAAATATGAACCATCTACAGATCAATCCCTCTGAGAAGATGGAACAATGTTGATGTTTGCATGCACGAGAGCAACCCCTGAGGTGGAGTTTGAGCTGTGCCCCACTGATATTCAAGTGGCCTTAGAGGAAGAAGATTTGGACCGCTCGCTTAGTCTCTTAGGAGACAAGGCATGCAGATTCAGCTATAGCTTTAGGGAAAGTGAGGACCAACATCACATAAAGGAGCATATCACACCCTCTTAATCTTCGTCCTCTTTGTCGATCTAGTGACCACGAGCAACTGTGCTGAGCTGTGCAACGACAACGAGCGTGTGACTTCCCCCTTTCTTCCCACCATCAGCTTCTTCAATAGGTCTCTAGGTTTTAGGGTTTACTTGTTATCACATTGTTCGCAGAAGAGGCTACGCATGCTTTGGGGAATACCTAACCTTCACGATTCCCATAGAACTTTGCTGCACGGTGTGTGTACGTACGGATTCTCCTGTGTCCGGCCATCTCAAAAGAGCTACTTAATTAAGAGATAGATGATAAGCCTCTATGGTTACTTTACGAGCTCCACCACCACGCATATAGGGCACTGTTGATGAAGGTACAGCTATTGGCTGATGAATGATGACGAAGATACACCATAATCGCATGTGGTAAAACACACACATTTATCTTGTATAATATAGAGATAGGTTGGTGTAGATAATAGCCTACGATTGTGACGTCTTGGTCATTATTGACCATCCATTGTGTAAAAAGACATGATGACTGCATTTTGAAGTTAAGATAGACGGATGATCCAATTTAAAAGCCGAACGGTTTCAATTCGGATCGAAACCTGATTTAAATCAATCCGACCCGATCCGTGGTCACATCTCTCATAATTACGAAATCGATCCGGACCGATTGCCTCCATCCTCACCGGCGCGGTGATTCCTCCCCGCGACGGCAATCTGATCGCCGTCGATGCGTCTTCTCCGTCGAGGGTTCCCCACGAATCCATATCTATCTCCCTCGATTCGTGTCGCCCTTTTTTGATTCTGGGCTCCATCTCTGCTACTGATTGCAGAATCGCGGACCTCAGGTGCTCTCCCACGGACGATGAAGCGGATCTCCGGAGCGTACCAGTCCAGCTATGGAGATGACGATAGCGGCGCCTCGTTTTGGCGATCTCTCGTAGCTCTCCGTCTCTCCCTCTCCTCACGGGTTGGATGTCCAGTTCATAGCCGGCTCAGATCCGGTATCTTAGATCGGAGTGTGAGACAACGGGATCCGAATCCATCAAAACGGGTCCGACGAATTGACTCCGTTCCGGCATGAATCCGATCCGTTTTGCAGGTGCGGCCCCAGGTGCTCTTCTCAGTTCGACGTTTCCGGCCAACTGCTATTCGTCTTCGTCGCGTCGCCCCCTCCTCGTCCTTCAAGCCCTCTCTCTTTGTTCCCTCAGTCCTCCACGGAGGATTAGCAATTTCCACTCGTCTCGATCGCAACGTTCACCATCATTCTTGCCCCAATTCATCTGGCTGCTTTTAGAAGCGATCTTGCGTCGCCCCCTCCTCGTCCTTCAAGCCCTCTCTCTTTCTTCCCTCAGTCCTCCACGGAGGATTAGCAATTTCCACTCGTCTCGATCGCAACGTTCACCATCGTTCTTGCTCCAATTCATCTGGCTGCTTTTAGAAGCGATCTTTGTAGATCTTTCTGCTCTCCCCGCAGTTCTTGATACACGAGGATGGGAAGGATCCGAACCTTAGGAGCGATCCTGTCGGTTCTTTTCCTTTTGGTTGCATCCGTTGCTTCGTCTCGTGTTCTACTTGATGATGATAAGGTAAAGTCTGAATTTTTCCTTATTTTTGCTCCTGCGTCGTTCTTGAATTAGGGTATAGGAGATGTCTGATAAGTTCCAGATCAGGTTTCGGTATCTGCGGCCCCGAATCCGGTTGCTTCAGCGAAAAGCAATGTTTCTGGATTGAGCCAGAAGCCTCCACCAAAACCTAACAACTCAACTGTTCCTGGTGGTTCTACCTATCCACCACAACCCAGCAAGATAGAGAATAAATCTCCACAAAATTCGATCTCTCGAGAGCAAACCAAGAAAGATGATGGTGCAACAGGATATCCGAGAAGGGAAGAAGACAATGCTAAATCTGGAAGCTCTGGCTCGACTAAAGAGAAAAGTATGAGCCCGACTAAACTGGAAGATAATTATGTGGTAAAGGAGACTTGCGGACCTCAATCTACTAGATGCATTAATGATAAGTTGGTCGCTTGTCTTCAACATTCTGAAAATGGTAAAACAACCCTCTTGATTTTCTAATTCTGCAGTCCAAGCTATGCATAGTCGGATGTTCTAGTGGAATAATGTTACTAGATGGTTAATTATCCTTCACATCTGTAGTGGTTTTCAGATGATCTCCCATTCCTGCAGAAACCGTAGATGGAATCTGGTCTTAAGGAGCAATTCCTACTTCTATTAGACCTTCAATCTAATATTTGTTCTTTACCTTTGAAATCCATAATGACTAGTTACGATTTCTTGTCAGCATTCCTGATACTGGGATACCTTTTATTGTATTTTAACTTATTTCTTGAAGCCTGTCTAAACCCTTTTCAGATTCTTCATTTTTTCTTTGAAAATTATTCAATCTTCTTTATAGTTTTATAAAGCTTTGCAAAGGATTGTACATTTGCAATCTCCTAACTCAATGATCTGAGCTGCCCCATCATATTGCTGCTTCTCTTTGTAGCAGTACTATTTTCACTTGATAAATACTGCTCCAAGCTGTTGTAGCACCACTTCAGTTTCTCATAACATATGCCTCTTCTCATCGCTGAAACAATTTGTTCCAGTCCACCTAATGCAAGCAGAAGATCTCAGCACCGAGTACATTGTAGTAATGGCATTCAAAATTTGTACTGATGCCTCAGTATGATTTGTTATTGGAGTTTGGTTTGGGACAACATAAGAGTCTTATGTGAACTATAAATTATTTCTCTATATATTGTGCAGTTAGTTTTTAAAAATATAATTTAGACAGATTACATTTTATTAAATTAGCTACAACATAGACAACATCAAGAATTACTTTTATAGAGTTTTAGGGTTTTAGTCCAACCATTGTATGTCCTCATCACTTCTGCAACTTATTGTTGCAAAGGCATTTTATAAGTTGGAAGAGCCCATTTGAACATGTACATGCACAATTTTGCAATTATCGGCTGTGAGGGGTTGGGGGAGTGCACATTCTTTAAATAATAGAGGGGTCAATGTTGGCCTTTCTAGTCTCCCTCTATGTTGTCTTTGCCTAGGCAGAAGATTTTTGTAATAATAGTTAATACCTTACTCGTCCGTTGTAAAGTACCTCAAAGGCAAACAAGATACGAGAATCAAAGATTTTGCATCTTTCTCCTGCTAATTCTTCTATTATCTTTTGCATTCAGTATTCTCCATTTCCTTCTTTGTATGAACTGATTAATGTTACCGACATGTTCTATGTTGGTTTCTATTTTATCATGTATGATATATGTGGCAAGTGTTTAAGTGACAGAAGCTGTCTCTCTGTAGAATTCAAGATGCATATACTGACTCTACCTCCCTAATTGATGGGAACCTTGTGCACTGAGCTTGCTGTTTTTGCCCTAGCTCTGGCCATCCATGGTTTGTTGGGTAGAACATTACTTAAATCTAGGTCTTTGTCATGTCCAGGATAAAGTTTACATCCCTCTGTCCTAATGTAAGTTGCACCATTAGTTAGTGGAAATTCACCAAGAGGAAGCAAAGGCTTAACTAGGTTAAGCTACCTTTCAAAATCTCAGACTTGACCTTTTATACCATGGCGTTAGACTAGTTTCTCACCAACAAATTTCAGAAAAAATGAATGTGGTTTCTGGCTTGATTATAAGAATTTTATAAACTTCTATGAAAGAATTAAGCTTGCTTCCAGATGATGTTATACATTGAATTTTCAGTTTCTTTTGCTAAAAACTCATAAGATCCAAAAGCTAAAAGAAAAAAGTGACTGGGAATCACCCAAATTAAAGCAATGATCTCATGGCACTATTGAAACTTATTCAGATGTAAGCAGTTTAAAGGGGATACAGAAAGCAAGTTTCCAAGTAAATTCAAGTAGGTACCATATTTTTAGCAATTGTAGCATGGCAATAGGTACCAGAAGTTTGACAATTACTAACGATGAATAGGTCCCTTTTCCAATGGGATACTGTTTGCAGCCAGCAAAGATATCCTGATTTTCTGCTTTTCTTCATAGATTTCTTTGTATCTCCTTTCTGTGTTGATTGTTTTTCCCAAAAGAAGTATTTTGAGGATAAAGTTGTTTACACGATCGAGCGCCTTTCATAAAATTCTTGTTTCTACACTGCTTTCTTTCTTTTACATGCAATTGTCAGATGAAAAAAAATCCAAGAAAACCATGAAGCTTTTGTATTAGTCATTTTGTCCACCTCATCGTATCTTTGTTTGTTCTCTGCTTCCATTATTTGCAGATTCAAATAATTTGTCCCTTTTAGTCCAGAATATTGGGGATGATGATTTTAATGTGAAAATTTGGGGAACACCTGCTTTACATATTGATCATGATATTGGACCTCTATCCAGAAACATCTCCAAGAAGGTTCATTCTCCTTTTCACTACCATATGGCTTTCCTTAAATTGCAATGTTTAGAACAACTATTTTATTTAGATATGTGGGAGATAGTATCGTTGAACATGTTAAAATATCAACAATGCTTACTATGCCTAGGTTATTCTGAAATTTCTTGTGCTGTGCAAATGAAGAGATTTGTTTTCTACTTAAAGCATTTATTAGTAATTGAAACTAAGAAATAAATACTGTACCCATCATGTACAACAAACTTGGATTCTTAGTGAGTTAATTTTAAATAGGTGTTATGGTTCCCCAGAGCAAAATCTGTGGATGGACGGAGAAAAAAAATCAAAATAATATAAGATGAAATTTAGAAAAAATAAAAGAATTTTTAGCATATATAAATACATTTGTTTCCTTTCTGCAGATTATATTTTATATATTCTATAATATATGCCTTATTTTTTATTTTTTTATTTATTATTTTGATCAACTTGGACCCATTGATCCAATCCGACATTGATCCCAATAATATTATCCATAATTGATTCCATTACCAATATTGATAGATGAAATAACAATACTAGAGAATATAAAGTATAAGAAAGAATTTAGCAAAAAAGTAGTGGTGGCTAAATTGATGATCTTATACAGGGTTGATTGCTGGCATTATGTCAAAGAAGATATATGAAAAAAGGTTGCTTTAAGATCAAGTATATTAGTTGTATAGAAAATTTTACCTTGTCATGTGCAGTTTAAGCTCATCTAGCCATGTAGGAATCTCTTTTAATTCCTATGGCTTGGGAAGGGATGAAGAAATCACAAGCTGTCATCTCACGGAAAGTCTGGAATTTATGGAGCTTGTGCTCTTCAGATGCATTGTTTGCTAAGCTAAATATATGATAATCTTCTTTTCCCGAAAGTTACCTTTATCATTACTCTTGTTGGATACGGGTCTATACATCTTTCTTCTCTTTGGAATATATATATATTCCTGATGTGTGGAAAAGCAACACATTTACATGCATGCAATGACTTTTCTTGCAGATTAATATTCCAGTTAATTATTGGAATGTTACAGAAATTGTTCTAAATGCGGGAAAAGGGGACTGTGTTCTTCACATTGCAACATCAGTTTCTAACTGGAACCTTCTCCAGCAGTTCCTTGCTTATGCAACTCGTCTGACCCCAATTTATGGCACCTACTTTTTACTTGTTACTGTGGTTCTTGTTGGTGGAACATGGGCCTGTTGCAGATTTAGGAAGAGAGGAAAGAGAGATGATTCTGGCATCCCATACCAGCAGCTTGAGATGGGAGCACACCCACAGTCCAGTTCTGTAGCTGACTCCATGACTGTTGATGGCTGGGATGAGTGGGATGATGATTGGGATGACGAATCAGTGACAAGGCCTCAGAAACACACTACTCCTAGTGTTTCATCGAATGGTCTTACTTCAAGGACTCCAAAGAAAGATGGTTGGGTTGCAGACTGGGATGACTAGGCTTTTAACGAGGTAAGAGCATGGAAGTTATCCAAGAAAGAGGAATGACCAAGGAAAGTCCATCTCAAGGAAAGAAAAAAAGAATGTTACAGCTTACAGAGTCTGAAGGTAGCATCAGGTGGATTTTGCATGAGCATTTCAGATAGAGCTTGTCCTGCTTAAAATGTTCAGATGGGTTTCTTGGAAGATGAAAGCAATCGTGTGTTTGTAAAATTTTGTACACTAGATTCAGTTGTCATTCCATATTCCTTTCCGTTGATACATAAAACAAAGTTATGTTGGCCGAGTCCAATGATCTTTGATTGGAACATTCAATTTAGACAGTTACACACAAAATGTGAAACTGTATGAATGGATCTGTTTGGTTACAACTTCATTCCCTGTGGATGGTGATTACATCTGAGTTGTAGCATTGAAAGACATTTACTTACTATGTCTCTAACCAAGCGAAAGCATATATGAGGCACTGTCGTCATTTGATAATTTCTGCTTCTTTTCAGAATAAATAGGAAATGATTGGGCTTTGTCTTCTCCATGTTGTTGTTGCCTCAGATTCAGGGTTCGCTCAAAGCATAGCTGGGTGATCATCAAATATACCTTTAAATATGGATACATGCTTTCATTTCAAGCCATGGCTGAACCAAAATTACAACTTAGCACGAAGAACATGAAGCAGAGTGCTAACACCAAGAATTGCCCAAAAAAAAAAAATGGCACAACCTTCAAAACACTATTTTCTATTGCTTGATCTTTAGCTGTTGAATTGTTTCAAATTATATCTAGAAAATTGACAAGTAAAATTTCACATACTTTACATCTTGTCTCCTTATGTACAAGGTAATTAAATTTGGCATAGAGATTCTCTTTGGAGATTCTCTCTTCCTCTAATTTCCAAAGACTGCATTTCTTGCAATGAGAAGCATCATTCACAACCAAATATGTATCATGAAAAATGGTCTTTATTCATTTTTCAAACAGGTCAACATCATTTCAGACCCTCTCTAAGCTTGTGCTCGAGACCATAACCGTGCCCACTTGTAATTCGTTGGAGTTGGTCATATCCTGCAAGAACTCCTGCTCCTGCCATACCGGAAAGCATGTTTGCGGCAGCCCCTCTAAACAGAGCAAATGAACCCTCTCTGTAGACTATCATTCTCATTGCATGGTATGCATTTTTATACTTGGCAGGCTGTCCAGAAGTCAACATCATTCTCCTGCGCAGTGTATCGAAAGGGTATGCGCAGATGCCAGAAAATGTCGTCACGCTCCAGCCCAAAATGAAACTGGCTAAGAAGTTACCCTGCAACAAATCAATCAATTTCTTAATGGCCAATAAAGAACAGAAGTGGAAAAAGAAATTTGCTTGTTAGCGAGAAATGAAGCGCCTATGATAAAGTAAATTCACAGCTCACAATCTCATATGAAGAATAAGAGTTAGACAATTACCTCTAGTGGTCCAACTAGAACAACAGGCTTCAAGGTATCGTAAATGCCGAAATACAGGCCCCGATACATAGTGATGCCCATTATAGAAACCCCAAAACCTCGATACAAGCCAGCAACGCCATCACTTGCTACTGTCTTCCTGTACACATCAAGTAGCCCTTTAAACTGGCGTTGACTGTTAGCCTTGGATTCAATTGCATCTGTGGCTAGCCGGGTTCGTGCATAATCTAAATGGTACAGTAACATGGATGTCATTGCTCCAGCTGCACTACCTGAAGCTACATTCCCCGCTAACCACTTGATATAACCATCTTTCTCTTTTGAGCGACCAAAAAGGCTCCGGAAGTAGCCCTTGAATGCAAAATTAAAGGCCTATTGGAAAAAAGGGCAGGGCCAACCATGTTACTGTTTAAGATAGTTCAAATAATAATACAATTAAAAAATTGTGTTGAAGTATATTAAAGCAAGGGTATGAAGCACAATAACTACAAGTGTGGACTTCACTAAAAATTGAATGTTTGAACTTTTGAGCTATGTCTATTTAGATGCAAGGAACAAATTTCTTTGAGGCATGCATGTCAATTGTGTAAAACTTGAAGTGTTTGAAAATTCGATGTATTGTCTAATAGAAGCAGAATACAACTTCCTTTGAAACACATTTTATTTATATAACTTATATTTTCTTTATGATCTCTTATAAGATGTTTGAAAAGTTTGTATGGTTGCGATGAGAATGTTAAGGTAGATGAACACAATTAGCAGGAATAATAGAAGAAAAATAATATGTTTATTCATGGACAATCAAGTGCAACCCTAATGCTAAATAGTAAATAAAATGAGGAAATATTATTACTAAGGTAGCATGCTCATACTTAAGGAGATCTATATATATTGTGGCTAAATGAGACAAATCGATTAACATTGTTAGTGAGGTGAGGAGAGATAAAGGGAGACTAAAGAAAATATTTGAATTTTATTAATTTAACTAGAGATTTTTGTATAGAGCTCAAAGATGGAAAATCATTCATGAAGATTATCCCAAACAGTTGGAACATTACAGCTTGTTCATATTGTTCTCTCTTAGAATGACAATCTAGCTTATTGTTTGTTTACAAATTTTTTTATAGGAGAATTTACTCATATTAAAAAAAAAAAGAGTAAGCTCATCACTGCAACAATGAACACCTTGCGTTTATAGCATATCATATTATCTTTTGGTGACAAATCACTCATTAAAGTAGATGCCTCATGCAAGGACATGATAACAGAAAAAAACATAAATGTGATTTAGAATGTTCGGAGTTTTTAATGCTCTGAAAAATGTAATAAACTTGTTATTCAATGTGATAATCAATCAGCCTTTTCCTACTTTGGTCTTGTTTATAATTTGGTTCTCCTGTTGTTGTCTTCTCTGATGACTCACGCACTCCATTAAAACAATCTGCTGTAAACTCAACAGCTGCAAACATTTAGCATGTCGAGCAAGCGGGACGTGAAACTGCAAGGCTATCTATCTGATAAGAGGAGACCTAATCTATCAAGGTGTTGCAATAACTATAGGACACTCTACACCAGCTGACAACTATTTTGACTTGTTCCCTTGTCAAAATTGTAACTTTCGGCATAAGTGGCTTCCGCTAAAACCTAAAACGTCACACACATCTTCTGTGCTAGAAGATGCTTTAGGCACTCCCCAACCAAGCATGCAAAGCATCGGCGCCAACCAAGGGAATCCGATTAAAATTTCAAACATTCCACCTAACTAGAGTAGAACTTCTCCTCCTTGTAATCAATTAATTCAGTAATATTAGTTCAAAGATGGGTTACTGAAAAATAGGCTCTAAACCTATATTATCTCAAGTTGTATCATGAGTTTTGCTGATGTGATTAATTTTCTCATGAAGACATCATTAACCAATGATATCACCAAAAAACATTGTGATTTCATAATTTTCTTCTGAATATTGCATAATATGAAATTATTTTGAACTTTGATTCTACTAAAAATCATCAAAAGAAAGCAGATTTAAGAACGATTACAACAAATACTCTCATGCAAATTTACCCCTAATTCTCGAGGCATACTCCTAGAAATTTCCAACCTGGGTTGGGAAATATCGGATGACATTGGCCTGGTTGCCTCGCCAGAATGCCAGAACCCCTTCCTCTCTGAGAACCCTAGCAAAGCAGTCCCGGATGCCTCCGTACGGCATCGTCAGGTACCCCCTTCTCATAAGCTCCCCCTGGTTCTGAAGCAGGAGCTTCACCCGCTCCACGGGCGCGGCCCCGCTCTTGGCCACCACCGCGGCGGCCCCGCCCATGAGGAAGTCCGCAGCCATCTTCTTCGACGGCGGCGCCGCCGCCGCCACCATGGCAGCGTCGGCGGGAGGCCCCATCTCGCCCTCTGCGTCACAAACTTTCCATCGCATGCTGTGACTAAATATGGAATTGGAAGTGGTGGGAATTAAGTTCTTATAAATAAAGAGGAAAATGACAAAGAAAAAGATCACTGTGACGAGAGATGAGAGGTTGAGATATATGATTCGAATCATCATGTCACGGATGAGTAGGACACACAGTATATGAGAGGTTGAGATATATGTTTCGAATCATCATGTCACGGATGAGTAGGACACACAATAAGATATGGGTACAGTTCATCTCGATCCCGCAACCCATGATGTTGAAGCGGGCTTGATTGGGCCAACATCAATTTTCTCAACTTTTTTTTTAGTGATAATATATATGATAATCATTTGGTAAAAATTAATAATTTAAAAATCTCATTTAATAAATTTATAAAAAATATTAATTAATTTTATTTGTAAATACCTTGTCCTCGATGATGATGATTGATAGGGGTAATAATGGCGACATGACGTGTCACGACGTCGGCCCCATCTGGGCGCCACTCTGTCCGAGAAGGAGGGCAATAATGCTGACTCGACATGCGCTGACGTCGTCCGCTCTCGGACAACGACTTCGTCGTTGTCTGACCCCGCTTGCTTGACCAAAGCAGAGGAGGAAGACGACCGAAGCTCGCCCATACCCTGCGGCAGTTCGGTTCTCCACGTAACGTCTATAGAAACGTTAGACGTCATCAGAGGTACGATCCTGCCCCCCGCAAGCAGGCACATCAGGTAACACTAAACCACCCTATAAATACCCCCGAGTTCTAAACGAGGTGGAGGACACTTCTTCACCAGAAAAACTCCCTTCTACATCATCTGACTTGATCGTCGGAGGGGTCGGGCTGAGCTTCCGACCCGGCCTGTGTGCAGGAACAATGGCGAGGTCGCACCTTCCCGACACCTCGAGGAGGCTTCGCTCCACACGCAACGTCCCGACCATTGCAACCGACCACCCCGGTTGTCCCGAGGAACGCCGTGCGAGATCCCCCCGCATTCGAACACGAACCGAGCCGCGATAGCCCCGAGGCCACGGCATACAGTTGTTTCCCGCAACAATAATGATGATGATGATGATGATGATGAGGTCTTGGTATATGATATGTTAAGTTATATTTTGATTGTAAGACGTAAAAATTAGGTCTTGGTATATGATTGTCAGACGTAAAAACTACTGATATATCAAAATTATTTAGTAAAAATTAATAATTTAAAATATCATCTAATAAATTTATAAAAATATTAATTAGTTTAATTGGTAAATATGATAATATAGTCCCCTTGTGTTTTGTAAAATAAAAATAATTTTAAATATTATGTAAAATTTAAAAATATTTATAATGCTTGAATTATTCACGACAGTTATTTTTTTTCTTCCTTTTATTGTTTGTATTTTGTTAAAAGTTTTCTCTCGTTTTCTCCTCTCCCACACTTCTATTTAAAATTTTACATTAGATTAGAATTTCAATGTCATTATACTAATCATGAAAATTTAACTATAACGACATATTGATTGTATATGTTTGACATGTTAATATTTTAGATCAATCCCTCAAAAGATATATACCTTCAATTAGACAAATTTTGTTAATATTGGTCCATTTAGATTTATTTTTGTCTATCCTCTCCCACACTTCTTTTTATTTCAAGGGTTGACAATGGAAAAAGAGGTAAAAGTATGCAAGAATGAGATTTATTTTTATAAGAAAAAACCCTATAAATTTCCATTACATCAAACAACATCTTCACTTGTACAATATTATACTAATATACAATAATACACTAATGTTTCCAGAAAACTGAAAGAAAAGATTAGTTTATGCTTATTTCACTTGTAATCAAAACTAGGTAGAACATCAACTCAATCAAGTCTCGAGTTAATGGACCATTAATCAAAGTAGTGGGTTAGTTTATTGGATGATAGGTTTAATAAAAAATTAAAATAAATAATTTTGTTATAAATAATAAATAAGAAATTTTACTGCAAAATTATATACATCGGGATCAAAGATAATTTATAATTTTGTTTTTTTCTGCCAAAAAAATGTATATTACAACATGATGCTATAAATAGCCAGCAAGCTACCATGCTAGCAAAACTAAAAGCAACCACGTAACCCCGAAGAAATTTATGAACCCACGTAACCAAGGGAAAATGCATCACAACTTTGTTGCACGAGCATTCCCTTGTGATAAAAATATATGAACAAGGTATTCTCCAAAAGAAAATAAAATATATATATATAACAACTATATAAATTTTACATTAATTGTTTAGGTGCCAAACTATTATATCATAAAATTAAAATTGTCATCTTTAACATCTATGGGATAGGGAATATTCTGATAATCAATCTCATCCAACTAGTTGGTAACCATATAAGCGCCAATGTGAACAATGACGATTAAGTCACCCCCCACGGGATAATAACGTGGAGGCTATTTAAGCTGGCCATATCGATCTCCGTGGACAATAGTCTATGGGTAGTCATTTGGGTCTGTCCCCCCTCGGTCGGCCCTTGTGGACAACAGTCCATGGGAGGTCATTCGAACATGCTGCCTCTATGGACAAAACATCAAAGGGAAGGTATTACGGTCACTACAGGTCTACCACCTCCATGGACAAAATGTCATAGAGAAGTTGTTCAAGCCTGCTACCCTCGCGGAAAAAAAAGTAGAAGGTGTTACAACCGTTACGGGCCTGTCACCCCATGGGTAAAACCCTAGAGGAAAGACTTAATAATTGTTACAAGTGATTTTGTTTATTAGATAGTTATAAAAGCTGCCCCTTGGCGCTAGCCTACGGGTCGGATCTCTCGAAAATTAACTCTTTATACCACATTCTAATCCAAAAGCTAATTTGAGTATAAGAAGGGTCGGGTCGAAAAACTCTCCCTTGATATTGACCTTTGTACAGGAACCAACGCAGAGTCGAACTCCACCCAAAGACCATCTTGAATCTATCACGGACGCCTTAATGTCCCATCAACAGTCTTGTAGGACAACCATTCGGGTTCCTCGGATGCCCTTGCAACTTTAGGTCGAGACCCAACCAATCCAGCTCACAGTCAATCTTTAGCCATTACTGTAGACGAAAAAAAAAAAACAGACAATTTACTCTTGCTGAGTCTATCTGTAGAGAATGGTCATACCTATTATTCGGATATTGGGTTCTGAAACTTCAAAATAAAGAAATGTTTGTTTTGCATGTCTGCCCCGATAAGTCTCAGCGGTTCCAAAATTTTGGCATCTTGGTCTTGAGAAATAAATCATTTTGAATTGAAGAATAGGATATTTCTATTAGTGCTGGATTTTCACAATTCGATACAGATTAAGGGACCAAAATTGCAAGTTTAGATCTGAAGAAAGAAAAGCTAAATAATTGAGCTTTAATGACCAAAATTGTAGCATATTGTGGTGGCCATGTGGCAGATGAACCACCATGCTGTCTGTTGCCGAGTCTGAAACCATCTTTCTCAGTGAGGAGGATGCATATTATGGAGAGGTGTCACCAGACTGATTATTGCTTTCATCTATATTGTTTAATTTTGTAGAGCTGCACTCTAAAAGTGGGATATCAGGTGTTTCTGCAATCGGATCAGGGATAGCTCCCTTTTTATTTGTCTGTAGTCCTGTAAATCGTGCTAGATCTACCCATTGCTGCAAAAAATAAAAAAGGAAAGATCAGGTGAAGACAATTATACTAGCACTGGCATGCATCTAATTTAAGATATAAGATCCTAAATTCATATAAGCAAAATTATTGAATTCATCAAAACCATTGACACTGATGATAAAAAATCAACAGAACAGAATCATATTCTTCATATATCAGTTGCTTAGAACGCTTTGTCTAATATTTAGTTTGTCTCAGTCAATGATCATGCTTAGCAGGCCAATTTGTCAGGAGTTGGAGGTCAATGCAACCCAATAAACTCAAGGGCAACTATACCCATTTACTCGAACATACATGAAACATGTATATAAATTTATTAAGAATGATGCTGGGGTTTTGAGTGGAAAGTGTCACACGGTTGCTTTTATCTTTAGCACATAGAAAATTATGACTCTCAATTGGAAAAATTGACAGTAAGTGTCCTCTCTGTTGGTCTTTGCAATGGCAGAATGAGCACAAAACAAGATAATCAGCAAGGAGTAACATAAAGGAACTGCAGAGCATAAAAGAACTCCGCTGTGGAATGATGCATCCCAATCCTGGATGAAGAGTTAGTTGTACTTTTACTGAACTTAGATTACAGTTTTTAAGATTTTTCTTAAAATTTTCAACTATTTTCAAACCTATTTTGATGTACTAATTTTGACATCACGTGCTTGCGTTGAGAAGTCATATCTCACCAAATCCAAGATTAAACAATTTTCTTTAGATTCTTTTGGGGTGTGTTGAATCCTTCATACCAATCAAACATGGTTACGGCAATGGTACCAGATTGGTTCTGTAAACCATCAGTTGGACTACCATGCCACGTCATACTGTGTCATAGAGCTGACTTCAAAACAATTGTCACTTAATTCTCTTTACCAGTAAACCTTCATGCAAGAGCTGATAATATAACCAAATGTCAGCAGAAAAAATTCCATGTCCTGATAAATCATAATCACATGTTTCTTGCATGCATAAACAAGCAAGAACATTGGAAAAGAAGTCAAAGCAAGACTAACCTGTGTTCCCCAATATGAGTTGATTGTGCGGACAGTGAAAGACAATGCATTAACAAGTAGTGGTCCATTGTTGTAAGATATTAGATAATCTGAAAGGCGGTGTTCTACTATTCCAGCAATTATCTGCATTTAATAGGTACTTATATTAATAATCCTGAAAGTAGTTATCCATTTTCATGAATTCGAAAGATGCTTTAAAGTACTGTCAACAGGATTATCAATCATCCAGAACAAGGATCTTCATGTTTAACAGTTACTTATTCATGGTCAAGCATTAAACAATGTTACCATCAGGTGCAGGCAGAATAGATCCAGGACATTATTATAGTGCACAATCCACGTAAATTTCTAGATACACTGCACGATCAATTGCATCAATGGACATACATGCTATTGG